GGTAATGAATTGTTAGGTGGTATCAACATAGGGAATACCTGTAATATCTTTCATGTGACGAGATATTTTGCCCTCCTCACTCTCATTCGCTTGCTAATCTCTTTCCAAAGGCATAGGACGTGTTGTATGTAAAACTCGGCGCTTTCACCTTTTATCTGTGCCCGAGTTTTGAGTGTCTTCTCAGCTTGCACTTTCAAACTTTATTTTTTTCCCAAATTCATTTTTTAAAATTTAGATTTGAATTCTTTCCAAGTATTGATACTTTCCTAATCATTTGTGAACCACTTTAAATCAGTTCCCTTGAGGTAAAATTGAAATTGATGAGACAAAGAATTTCATTTTAGTGATTGTGTCTTGCCACAACCTTTCATACAGGTATGGGGATCTTCGCTAGCCCCTTCCGGAGAATGGAGAGTTTCCTTGGCAGGTGTTGAACATAATAGTTACATAACTGAGTAATTGTTTCTCTGTATTTATATTCATAGAGGCTTCTCCTTGTTCAACATAATCATTAATATATTTATGGTTGAAAGGGTTCAACATCTCCACCAGTTAAATATAAGGGGTTGTATATATATCCAAATATGTAAAATTAATTATTGATGACGTCAGCACTACTATTTACATACAGATAACAATAGACGACCACACTATGGTATATAAATGATAAGTAAACAATAGGATATTTTTATAATTTTTAATACCAAAAGTTTATATATATAATTCTATAGGTTTTGTTTATAATTATTAAAATGTAAAACATTATAATTATCCAATTATTTCTTTGCCACAATATAAAAGTTTTAATGTACTTGTAGCAATTCTTTGTCCGGCTTACTAGTTTATGTGGTGGTTAAGCAATTACACTCACATAAATAATTTCTTTATAAAATCAAGCCTTTTATTGGAAGTGCAGGGTTGGGGTAGCATAATAATGCAGCACTTGCTAAGTCTTGTTTACATCTCTCAAATTGCAACTTGGCTTCTTCCGACCAATCGATTTTTCTTTTGTCATTCTTTTTTGAATCCTTCAGATAATCATGAAGAAGAGCCTGCGTAGAAGCTGCATTCTCAAGATATCTACGATAAAAATTTACCATACCTAGGAAGGTACGCAATTCCCGTTTCGTCGTTGGCAGTTTATAATCTAGAATTGTTTGAACCTTTGATGGAAGCGGTTGAGACCCTCCATTAGTTATCCAGTGCCCTAGAAATTCCAATTGGTCAACTCCTAAGATAGATTTAGCGATGTTTATGCGCAATCCATAGTTTTGTAGTTTCTCGAGAACCAATTTTAAATGAGTTTCATGTTCTTCACGAGTTTCTGAAGCCACTAATATATCGTCCAAATAGGGAAATGTAAAATCCAAGCCACGAAGTACTTCATGAATAAAACGCTGAAACGTAGCTGGTGCATTTCTAAGGCCAAAGCTCATGACGTTGAATTCATAAAGTCCAAATGGAGTTATTATGGCTGTTTTAGGCTTGTCCTCCTCGGCAATGGGGATCTGGAAATAGGCTTTAAACAAATCAAGCCTAGAAAAAATCATCTTTCCACTTAAAATATGCTGAAAGTCCTCCAATCTAGGTATTGGGTAGCGATCAGGCAAGGTTTGAGAATTTAGTTTTCTGTAGTCACCACAAGGTCTTAATGTGCCGTCTTTTTTGGTGACCAGGTGAAGTGGACTAGCCCATTGTGATTTAGATGGCCTGATTATTCCATGCTCGAGCATAAATTGGAACTCTTGTTTAGCTTCATTTAATCTTTTTGGATCCAATGGTCGAGCTCTAGAGAACACTGGCGGTCCTTTTGTTATTATGAAGTGCTTCACATCGTGATTAGCTTTCATTATTCCTACGTTGGGCCTCGTAATATCTGGGTAATTAGCCAATAGTTTAGAAAAATTTGATGTTGTTCTATAAGAGCTAAAAGTCTCTTCAGAGATTGAGCAGATATCACCTTTTATTGTCAGGTTTGTTATACTGTCAATCAATTGTCTTCTATTAATATCGAGGATTAATTTGAAATTATTTAGAAAATCGGCTCCAAGTATACCCCTGTTGGTTTTAGCTATTACAAATGGCCATTGGAATTGTCGCCGTAGACCAAGATCTAAAGATAATATTTGCGTACCGTATGTGGAAATTTCCGTTCCATTGGCTGCATAGAGCTTGAAATCGTTCAGGGTGGTCCCAAGTTTTCCTTTGTAAGGTATTAAGGAAATATCGGCTCCACTATCCACCTAGAATCGCATGCCAGTTTTTTTGTCACTTACGAATAAACGGCTATTGCGACGTATGTTCTGTCCAGCAGCAGAGTGCGTCGCACCACTTACTGCTGGTTGGAGTTTTTCCGCATTGACCCAATCACATGGCTTTTTACATTTTCCAGGTAGGCACTTTTTTCCATACCTATAGTGGAAATAGCAGAATGGTCCTTTTGGATTATATCCGCCCTTAGATCGGGAACGGGAGCGCGCATTGTAGCGATAATAACGTGAACTTCAGTCACGAGATCTACCTTGATGCTCCATTTTCATACTTTCTATTTTCTGTTCCAGAGATTCTATTTTTTTTAATAACATTTTTGTTTCATTCTCCGGCTTAGCTGCCTCATAGATCTCCGTCTTGGGGTTTAATTCGGCTATTCTATCTGCCATTACTGCCAATTTGTCGAGCTCTTCCTCGCTAATTATCAAAATTTGCTGAATTGCCTGTGGAAGTTTTTCGAGCCATAGCGTCTTTATAAATTTATTGGATAAGTCCTCTGTTGCCAATGACCTCAATTTCTGCAACAGCTGGCTAGGCTTTAGATCACCTAGTTCGATTCCCGATAACAGTTTTCGAATTCTTTTAGATTCGCCATCTTTGAATATTCTCAGAAGTCTCTCTTTTGCCTCTGAATATTTATTTATTTCTTTAGAGGTAATTATATCCCAGATGTTCTCGACATATTTTGGCTCCAATTGAGCGATCAAATAATTGAATTTCGTATTTTCTGTCTTTATATTATTTATCAAGAACTGAGCCTCTACTTGATGGAACCATATATCGGGTCGTTCAATCCAGAAAGGTGGAAGTTTAATATTTACCTTATAGGTCTCAACTATTTCCGTTTCTTCACTTTTCATTTTATCAATTCTTCGTGCTAGTTCTTCTGTTCGGCTCACCAGTTCATGTAGCGATTCTTGGTCCGGCTTACTAGTTTATGTGGTGGTTAAGCAATTACACTCACATAAATAATTTCTTTATAAAATCAAGCCTTTTATTAGAATGACTATGGCTACACCGCTATGGCTAGTTTGTTCAGGCAACCAACAGCATGAGAGGCAGAATGACAATAATAACTAACTAACTAACTAACTATTCAATCAATAGGAACTATATATATAAATTAGACAATACAATTTTTGCATATTTGCAACAAACAAATATGATTTTTTTAAAAAACAATTAAAATTTACATAATACAGAAATACCAAAGACTAATCTACATGTCCCCTACATACTTATTTAATATACTAATTTGATTCTATGTACATGGCGTCTCTGTTATCGCTGAAGTGTTCAATGGAGATACGGCTGCCAACCTTGACTATTAGGTAAATCATAACTTTCAACATTTAGTAACGTAAGTTTTACGTTTTATAATAATATAAATATATATTTCTATATAATATTTAGACTATTGACAATTCAATATATTTTATAGATACTCTTAGTCAAATGTTACAAAAATCAAAGATTAAACAAAAATAAATGTAAAACGACATTTGAAATTATCCCGCAAGTGTTTCTTTTCAACGATAATTCAAAATTTATTTCAAGGAGAAATAACGATTATTTCTAACCTTTTCGATGAGGTATGAAAGGATGAATTGTGAAAAGTAATGATAAACGGAAAAATAAAAGTGTATTATTTACGAACGGAAAATATGTCCAGGGTAGCCTAGTGGACATGGCATCTGCCCGGTAAGCGGAACACTGTGGGTTCGTTTCTTATCCCTGGACACTTTTATGTTTCCGTTTATCATTACTTTTCACAATTCACCCTTTCATACTTCATCCAAAAGGTTAGAAATAATCGTTATTTCTCCTTGAAATAAATTTTGAATTTTCGTTGAAAAGAAACACATGCGGGATAGTATTTCAAATATCGTTTTACAATCACAAGCAGCATTATATTATATTGTATTAAAAATAAATGTGATTAATTACAATTTGGTGATAAAAATATAATAAAAACTGTTTTCAGGATATATAATATTTGAATGTATTTTTTTATTAATAACAAATATATTGTGATTTGCTTTGTGTGTGGGTGAAATATTTATAATTTCAATATATAGTCAGTCTGCAGACTCACACATCCTATTATCGTCTCAGATAAATACTTTACAATATGTTTTGACTGTATGGAACACCAAATTTCGTTAATTTCCAGCCTATACATATATATATTAACACAAAGGAATAACGCGCCATCTATACATATAAAATAAAAGGATTTAAAAGAGCGAATGTTTCTTTTATACATAAAACGAACTTCTACTGTCCTTACTGCGATGAAAAATATATTGGGAGGGCTTGGCTCATCAGTGGTGAACCCTCCCAGCGATTTCGCCAATTTAATCCACCAGACCGCTTCTCAGAGCTCTAATACTGTATTGGATTATTCTGCTTTTATATGCTACACTGAAGGATGGAATCTTAGAAATGGTTTTCAAGTAAACTATGGACATAAGCTTATAGGACAGTAGAATTACATTCAAATATTTGCTTCGAGCAATGCTCTTCAGCTTCTGATGAGCCAAGCCCTCCCAATATATTTTTCATCGCAGTAAGGACAGTAGAAGTTCGTTTTATGTATAAAAGAAACATTCGCGCTTTTAAATCCTTTTATTTTATACATATATATATTCTATACAATCCAATATATGCCTTTTTGCTATCTGATATATATATATAATATAAAATAATATTTAAAAAATAAAATTACTTCAAAAATATTTAAATTTTCATTCTTTTTAACTTTAAATGTTTGATAAAAATATAACATGGTTCTGTCTTTGCTCCTTTTCTTATCCTAATACCTTGAATTCTTCATTTTCGTCTATGTTCTGCTTACATGACGCGTAACTCCCGAGTCTACAGCGTGAACTTGTTATAACCCTATGTTGTTACTTAAATTTAAAAAACCTTTTTGATACCTTAAAAGTAATATTTTTATAATTTGTTTTTAATTATCATTACTCATTCTCTAATACAATTATCTTTCATATAAATTATATTTAATTCTACTTTATTTATATAGATCCACAGTTCTTGACGGCTTGTCTACCACCCAGTGGAAATCTAACAAGAAGTTGTGGAAACTCACCCAACTTCTCGATGATTGATTGCGTTCAGAGAAATTGGATTTACCAATGAGAAAGATGGTATTTTATTGTGTAACAAACACTGCAGTACCCTCATAAATGTACATTTTACAGTTGAATTGCATTCTAATTCTTTTTTTGTTATAATTACCGAAAACATTATATAAAATGTAATTACAGAAAACATTATTTTTTAATGAATATTAAAGGTTTTGCTCGATTTTATATAACAAATATTTTAATTTCTGCTCTCTTTAGAGAGACGAAAGGATTTTTTAAAAGTTAGCTGAACCTTTGTAAATTAATACAGCTGTTTTTACCACAATATTATTGGATAGATCAGCTTATAAATTGAGGAACATAATTGACAATTAATTTTATTGATATCTTGGTGACATCTTGCATGCGTGGTGTCGCTGGAGACCTGCTGTCGATTCTCCACCAAACCCTGCAGCGCTGGCAGAGGCGCCATTTTCATTGTACATTGAGGAAAATAATGACACAGGGAATTTTAGGAAAGACAAATCTAAAGATGACGAGGCATTCTGATCAAAATATTCAACCTTCAAAAATAAGAAATAGCGCTCTATATCAAGAAATGAAAACATATATAACCTGAATAATACTATTCTCCTTCTTTAGATTTACCTAATAAAAGACATTTTTTAGTTTTTGAATTATTACAGCTATTTTACTACAATCTTATTGGTTTGTTTATCTTATATTAAAGAATATATTGACACGTTGTGTACATTTTGGAAAGACAAATCTAAGGATGACGTGGCATTCTTATTAAAAGATTCAACTTTCTTATATAAGGAATCAGCGATCTATCTATGTCAAGAAATAATAACATATATAAACCGAATATTGTAATAACCAAGAAATCACGTCTCGGATATTCAGACAGAATAGCCAAACAAAATAGCTGATAGTTAAGGCAGTGTTAAGGGGACTCTTGATGCTGAAACTCGACCGCAGCGTCAGAGTCCTGACCCCACAATCTCATACATACATTAGTTGCCCTTCCTATGAGCCTTCCACTTTTTATAATTACTCTAGTCTTTGCCTGAGGGCAATAGATATTGGTACTGGAAGAATTATACTGTTGATCAAACTGGTGAAATCGCTGAGAGGTTTCACCAGTAATGAGCCATCCCTTTCCAATATTTTCTCTTTGCTGCAAGGAATTAAGAGGCATTATATTTGTAATGGCAAAATTCGCGCTGTGTAGATGGCATAATTTCTTGAAATTTAACTTTATTTATATAGAATTAAAAATGGTATATAGAAAAAAAAAGACATTTGTTAACTAACAAAATTAATATTCTCTCTGGCTAAAATTATGAATATTTGTTATATTTTTGCTGATTATATGTAAGGGTGAAAAGGTAGAAAAGAAATCTTCAGAAAGTAAAATAAATAAATAGAAATAGGTTGACCATTCAAACCTGAATTTGAGATGGCAAAAAACCCGCAATCTGCTAGAATAAATACCAACGTTTAGGGGATTTAAGTTTATTGCAGAATATTTTCCAAGGACCTTTTATGTTAAATAAAGAAAATATATATTAAATATATATTTATTATATTTTATTAAAACATACTAATATATTATTCTCTGTTATTCCACACTACAATACCACCCTCTTGTGTAGTATCTTTTCATATATTACAAAAAATGGTTTGCTTATTTCATAAATTATATAAATTATTTTAAATTATATTTAAAATATAGATAACCCACATATATTTTGATTAAACAGAGTGAAGATGCTTTTGTAAATATCTCTGTTCGACTACATTGAGAAAATCTTCCCTTCAACAAAAAAATTAAAAGAAGCAAATTTTAACCCTCCTTCCCTTAGAAAATAAATATGCATTCAAAGCCGTTTATCCTGAAAATTGTTTACAAACTTCACTGTGATCTATATTTTCGGAGCATGCATTAAAGGTGGTTATTTTATGTTTGAACTTCATGATAAAATGATAAAATACCTATATCTTTACTTTCATTTATACTGGATGAAAATGCAATAATGAAATATTCATAAAAGAGATGCATATATAAGTTTGAAACATTACAAAAATTGATACTATAAGCAATTACGAACTCTTGAAAAAGCAAATACAAAATTTAGTAATTTGCTGTTGAGAATAAATATATTATTATTAAAAAAAGAACGATATTTTAAATGTAGAAAACGTTTGCAAAACGATGTTTTAAATGTAAATTTAAAGCCTACTTCAAAATAAGATAGTTCAATATCTATTATACTTTTTATGAAACCTTATCAATTTTCTGTATAAAGCCGCATTATATTATACTAGTAGAAAAGCCCGTCCAAGGACGGGATCGGCTAGAGCAGGTGGATTCCTAATTTTATTTCTCACATTCCTTTTTGATACTTAATAATATGTAATCGGAAGCGTTCGAGGTAAAATAACGTTCATGGTCCGTCAGGGATCGATCCCCTTCCGAGCGTTGCAACATTTTAACTTTCGGGTCATTTTATTGATATTTTTTTAATTAACATTTTTACTTTAAAAGAGGTGAACTTACAATGAATAAATTTCTTTGTAAACAACATTTTTGGTGAAGCAAGCTGAACTATTTTCAAGAAGCCTTCCCTGCTTGCTTCCGTGGATTATTTTTATTTTAACACACTTAGAGCTTTTCACCCTAGAAAAAGCAACATATAACTGACCATGGCTAAAAACTGGTTCAGGTAAATAGATGCCAACCATTTCAAGGGTTTGGCGTTGTGATTTATTTATTGTCATAGCGAAGGCTAATTTTACAGGGAACTGTCCCCTTCTGAGAATTAAAGGAATCTCAGAATGTATTGGGGCCAAGTAAACTCTCGGAATAAATACAGATTGATCTACTGCAGTGCCAGTCCGAACTTTTGCAATAATTAAATTAGGTAACAATTTAGTTACTACTAATCTCGTCCCGTTACAAAGACCTCGCTTTGTGTTTAAGTTTCGATGAAGCATTATGATTGCTCCAACTTTTAGCTTCAGCTTATGAAGTGGCATTCCCGAAGGGTTAAGGCTGTTGAGAAATTCCGGTGGATAGCTCTCATTATCTTCAGGTGTCGCATCATCTATTGAGTCTGAGCTGAAATACGTTATGGAGTCACCTTCAAGGATATCTAAAACTCGGTTGTTGATATCATCAACATCCACATTTCTGGGACAAAGTATAGCCTTATCGGTATACTGTTCAAAGTCAGAAGGAAGCAATTTATCTCCATAAATTTCTTTGACTAAATCGCCATTGCAAACCATTTCAGATGGTATTTCAAATTTATCGGAGTCTAAGCCAAGATCATTTGTTAGCTCGCCATTTCTAAGCTTTAAAAGCCAGGCACTAAACTCTGAGTCAATTGACCAAATATTATTGTCTAATTTCAAAATATGAATTTTTTTCCATAGAGATGAAATTTAATACTTGATTCTACAATTGCAGCTTGAGTTCCATGTGGAACAACAGGCAAAGTCTGTCGGAAGTCCCCTCCAAAGACAATGGTTTTACCACCAAGTGGTTTTTCATTCTGCATGATTTCTTTCAAGAGATTATTAATGCATCTAAGAGCATATTTTGGTGCCATGGTAGATGGTAGCTTC